TCAAATTCTGGCAGATCCTTCCTTCAAGGTTAAGTCCATATATGAATGAAATTATTTCAATTGACCTAATCCTTCTGGCCGCACTAGGCCCTGGGGTTTACTCAGCCTCTAACAGAAATGAGTACCAGGAATTAATTAAATGATTTTCCTGGGGAGTGAAGCGCGGCCAAAGCGTAAGGCTGACAACCTTACCGCCATCTTTGAGCTGATTGTCAAGGTAATGTGGGACCCTTAACGTCTCACAACCCTATGGACCTTCACGGCCTGTTACAGGGATAGCTTTACTTTTTTACTATGAATGAAATTATTGGGGACCATCAATATGGATTTTGACTTAAAAGATCAACTACTGATCAGATCTTCTCCATTCATCAAATACTGGAGCAAAAAGTAGAATTAGAATGAGACAGTACATCAGCTGTTCCTAGACTTCAAGAAAGCCTATGATTCAGTTACAGGGGAGGTATCCTACAATATTCGCATAGTTTGAGGTACCCATCAAACTAGTTAAGCTGATTAAGATGTGTTTAAATGAAACGTATGGTAAAGTCCATATAGGTAAACATTTGTCTGATAATTTTCCTATCCAGAATGGTCTAAAATGAGGAGATGCTTTATCACCACTGCTTTTCACCTTTGCTTTATAACTTGCCATTAGGAAAGTCCTGGAAAACCATGTAGGACTGAAATTAAATGGATCATGTCAGCTGTTGGTCTATGCTGATGGTGTGAACCTACTGGGTGATAACATGGATACCATAAAGAAAAACACAGAAACTTAAGTTGATGCTAGTAAGGAGGTTGGTCTAGAAGGAAACACAGAAAAAACTAAGTATATGTTGCTGTCTTGTCACTAGAATGCAGGGACCATGACATTAGGATAACTAGCAGATCCTTTGAAAATGTGGCACATTTCAAATACTTGGGAATGACAACAAAAAATCAAAATTTGATTCAGGAGGAAATTCAGAGGAGACCGAATTCAGGTAATGCTTGCTACCCTTCAGTCCAGAAAATGTTGTCTTTATGTCTGTTAGCTAAACATGAAAAAATTAGAATATACAAAGCTATAATTTTGCCTGTGGTTCTGTGTGGGTGTGAAACTTGGTCTCTGACATTTAGGGACTGAGGGTGTTTGAGAGCAGGTTGCTGAAGAGAATATTTGGGCTGAAGAGATGAAATGACCATAGGTTGGAAAAAAACTGCATAATGAGGAACGTCATAAGTTGTACTCTTTTCCAAGTATTATTAGAATGATCAAGTCAATGAGGATTAGATGGGTAGGGCATGTAGCACGAAAGGGGGAGAAGAAGAAAAAAATATACGATATTGATGGGAAAGCCAGAAGTAAAGAGACCACTAGGAAGCATGAGATGTAAGTGGGTGGATAATATTAAAATGAACCTTGGAGAGATAGAATGGGGTGGTATGAACTTGATCGATCTGACTCAGGATAGGGACCAGTGGAGGGCTCTTGTGAACATGGTTAAGACTGGTTCTAGACTCCGGTCTAGAGAACCGAAGTTAACTGCTGTGGGGATTCGTTGTGCTGACCACGCGACACCCTCTATCCGCTAAAGTTGGCACTAACTTCGCTGACAAGCAGCAGTCGCTCAGTCAGTATATTTCGCTTGCGGACTGAAGCCACGGAGATTTTTTGTTGTTTCTTTTTTTTTTTTACATGTGCGTTTTAAAGTTGTTTAATGTGCACTACCCTGTCACCCTTGTACTTTTTTCTTAAGTTCTCATACAACTGGTCCTGTTTTAGCCATTCTGAAAGTGTCATGTAAATTTGAGGGGAATCATTACTGGACTGTGCAGCTATATGCTGGTCATGTGCAGTAGGAATCTGACTCAGAAGCTACAGAGAAACAAAAGCCATAGTGATAGCCCTGAAATATGAAACTTCGCTCTGAGCAATAACAAATGACTGGATATTTCTGCATATACCAAATTGTGACATAAGAAACAGATCTGCTACAAGAATATCAAACTAAATGTCTTAAAAGATTTGAATATGGATATCACAACAGTAACCAAAATAGCTGTCGTTGATACTTCTTGAATTTATTATACACCACTGGAACCAACATTTCATCTGACATAGCTCTTACTAAACTGACTTTCCCCTGTATCATTGAAGGGATATGTTCTTGGAAAGTTGTCAGTGTCATGAAGTTAATTAATGCAAACCCTTTCTGTATTGACTGCCATCACTCAGTGGATGTCTGCCAACATTGCAGCCACTGGCTTCATGCCCCCCCCCCAAGTGCTTCACTATCTCCTGAATATGCACCATGGAGGAGCTTCCATAAGGCCCAGCATGATCAATATTGGGGCTCCTGTTTACTACCTGTCAAAATATCTGGTGGATCTGCTCAAGATGCACCTGGGGAACCCAACAGAACATGCTGGGCTGTCTCCAGGGTGCTCATTAGGGAGGCCTGAACTTTCTAAATTGACACTTTGAGCAGGATATCCTTTGACTGTTCTGTGTCTTGATTATTTCTGCTTCTATTTCATCAACCAGTTCTATAAACAAACTGACAGAGCTTCTGTTAGTTTGCTAGTTTCTTCATTAAGGACAACAAGGAGGTGGCACTCAGCAAGGAAACCCACAAGCCTCTCTGCCAGTTCTGTTGCATGGCTGACACTTTGGTGATCTGGCCTCATGGGTCAGAGAAACTGACAAGTTTTCTTGAGTACGTGAATGATATTCCAGAACATCCAGATCACCATGGATATGGAAAGAGATGGCCACCTTTCTTTCCTGGACATTGATATTTACAAGAGGCATGAGGCTTATCAGCTAATAAGGTATACCAGAAACCTACCTGCACCAGCCTGTGTCTGACTTCAGCTCCCACCACCACCAATCCAAAAAGCAGGCTGTTCATCCCATCTTAATGCACGGGCCCAGTGCTCACTGTGACTAGGATAGTTATCATGATGAACTGAAGTTTCTCAAAATGATTATTAGACAGAATGGCTACAACCACCAACAGTTTTGTTGAGCTCTCAGTCCTCCTAAGAGTATCATTGCATCCAGTGATGATCATGCCCTTTGTTGCCTCTATAGATTATGTTAGTACATCCTTAAATTGCATTAGTAGGGTGGTGTCCAGACAGTCATGGTATGTGGCCTCCTAAACCTACGTGGCTTTTAGTCTGCAAGCGAACTATACCGACTGAGTGACCGTCGCTTGTCAGCGAGGTTAGTGCCAACTTTTTGCAGATAGCGGGTGTCGCAATGGATTCCCAAGGCCGTTATTTTCGGTTTTCTAGACCGGAGCCGCTACTTTTCCATTCAAGTAGCTCCTCAATTATCCTCACGAGGCTGAGTGGACCTCGTTTCAGAACCACAACTTCTCAGAAAATCTGGTAGCACCGGGAATCGAACCTCCGGATCTGTAGCCAGGAACTCTGACCACTAGACCACAGAGGCAGCCTCCTACCAAAGAAAAATTCCAGCTTCCGTCAGTCAGAAAAGGAAGATCTAGGATTGAAGGCAGTGTATACAGCCATCCTCTCGAAGTATAGTCAGGTCTGCATTGGGCAGACTGGATGACTGAGACCAGGATCAAGGATCACCATTAACATATCTTTCTCTATCATTCAGATAAGTCAGTTGTGCCAAAGCGCAACATAAATCAGGGATTTCAGAACATCATTACCCTCTCTTCCAAGTCCAGATGCATCGGCCATCTCAGGAGGGTGGGTGACTTGAGATATAGCTCTATATCAGTAACGTGAACAGAGAGGTTTGCCTCTGCCTGAGTCATGAAAACCTCTCATCTACTGTACAAGATAATATGAGAAGTCTCTATTAAGATTTCCCATAATTTGGTTCTCAAGCTTGGCTGCCCTCTTCAGGACATTGACCCTGCCAGTGTTAGAAGATCCTTCCCTTTCCCTCTTATGCCCTAATTTATTTAGTTTGTCCTCCCCAACCACTTCTTCCTCATCCCCCTATTCTGGCCTCTTTCAGCCACTCTTGGTGTTCTGTCTTTTCTCCCCTTGAAAAGGGGTTTTAAAGGACCATTATTTCCTTATTCTATTCCTGCTGATATTTCTTCAATTTCAGTTGTTTAACCCATGTTTTTCTTTCTCTCACTCACTGTTCCCTTGGGAAACAGTTATTTTGTGGAGCAGTGTTCTTTACAGTGTCCTTTTTACTCATTATTGGTTTGCTCACATCCTCAGTCCCACCCTTCTGATCCAGTAGTACTTTCCACACTTGGCTTCCCATATACTGTGAAGATAAAGGTAGCCAATTCCTCTGAAAGGCTGGTAATGACCTACCAGGCAACAGGTCACTTCCAAGAAGAGAATAATTATCATAGTTATTGCCATAAGAACCTCAAATTTAACATTCTTTAGTCATTTACCACTGCATGATAAATTTACTGGTAATGAATGTGGTTGCATGTATGTTCTATGGTATCCAGTGCTGCTTAGTAACAACTAAGCAAGCTGTATACATTTTCCATATCCAATTATTCTATTTAATGTCATTAAGAGGACAGTCATTTTCTCCTTCTCATCAGGAAAACCATTAATATAAAGGAAGTTCATTGGACTTTATTTGTTTGTCCTCTCCCCCACAAATAGAATGTAATATCCATGAAAAGGATGTTGAGATGGTTATTGGTGATGTATATACTCCTGTTGGTGCTGCTGAGGATAATAGGAAAAAAAAAATATGATGATTTAATTCTAAAACTTGTTACTAATATTATGCAAATTGTTGAGGAGCAAGAGTTGAAGTCATTGGCCACAGAGAAGATTAAAAATATTGCAGACTCAAGGCTTGGCTTATTCTTCAACCCTGAAGATAGACATCATACATTCCACCAAAATGTCTGTGGACTTGTAATGCACTACACAGCATTACAGTCAAGAAGATGATGCTCTTCATAGTTACTGCTGAAAACCTCAAATCCAACATATTCCATTATGTGAAGTGACTTAATGATTTGTTAATATAAAGTTTGTGTAAGTTCAGCAATCACAAGTTTATTTCAATTTCAAAGACAGTAAAGACAAACATTGGGATTTATCACAATTTATACAGGTCACCTTGTCTAAACGAAGAGCTGCAATAGCGCAGTTTCACAGTTTCAAATAATGTCGGCCTGTGCTCTTAAATGACATTCCATTCCCTAAATTGCCTTCTTATATTATTTTCACATAATAGCCTATTCATAAATTTTTAGTGTTACATTAATTGAAAATAGAATATTCATACTTGTAAAACAGTAGATTTTACTTGAAATCAAGAACTATAAACACACAAACATTGCCTCCAAATTTTAAGAAAATACTGAATCATACTTTACATCATGGGAAAATATAATCATCTTGTCCACACAGTATCAAGTTAATGTTATATGTGCTCCTGCTTATGCAACTGTCATGTCATATGATTGGCTTATAGTTCAATCAGTCAACAAAGCATACACCAGACATTAGAATATCAAACAGCATCAATCCAGTCTTCTACAGTTTTCTTGTGCTGACTCAACCATTTGATATTTTTTCGAACATGGTCAAGGGCTTGATTTCGAGCTGCCTTCCCAGCCCCTGCATCTGGATAGTCCGTAAAGAAAATCTCCATCTGTAAAATAATAAATTCTGAGCAGAACTCATGAAGCTCACTTTCCTGTTCCTTGTATTTCAAGATTTACATGTATGAGAGGTTTACAGTCTATCTCCATACCAAATTTCACATGTCCAGCTCTAGTGACTCAATTGTCGTCACCACCAAACAGATAAATAAAAAAAAATTACAAGTTGTATGTTATTTTACATTCTACAAATCATTACTGTAACAGAAGTTGCATATGTTTTGAAGGACTGTTACCACATATCATTTCAGGACCCTGTTGTATCACTTCCATGTAAGAAGTTTGCTTGTCAGTCATGTTGTTACTACCGCTTGCAAGGCATTAGGCAGTATGGTGATGAAATGGGCTTCAACCGGATTACTGTACCAAGTTGCATGAAAGTCAACTAACTCAAAGATGAAGTGGATACATGCCAATATGATACTGATCTCCTATGCATATTATTTTCCCTTTCAGGAAAGAATGGCTAAAAACTTTTATTTAACTGAAAAACCAATGGAACTATGTCGTTTTAAAGACTATTTCTTGATTTACTTCCATTATGTATGACATTTACTCAAAAAGTTCCCAAAATGAGGACACAAAAGCAGAAATGTATCTGTCACATTATGTGATGTTTGAGTGACCTTGCAACCTGACCGTCATGCAAGGCATTTTGTTCCAAGTAGATTAGACATTACCTTTAGTTTTTGTAACTGGCTTTGTGATCGAGTGTGTTGTTGTCTTGTCGCATTCAGTAAGAAGTCAGCAAATGAGCAAAGAATTTGTTTTAAATTCTGTTTCAGACTAGGGAAAAGAGCTGTAGAAACCCATACAATGCTGCATGAAGCTTGTGGCATGGATGCCTTGAGTCAAACAATGACCTACAAATTGTTCATACTTTTTAAAAATGGAAGAACTTCTGCAGATGATAATGAGTGGTTCAGCTGACCTAAACTTCAAGATCTGAACCTCTGATTGCCCAGGTGTAAACCATTATCAATGGAAATCGTTGATTAATTGTCTAAGAAGTTGCAGAAGAGTTTGTGTTATCCACTGGTGCATGCCACACAGTTTCAATGGAGAATTAAGAATGCACCATGTCTCAGCACAATATGTGCCAAGACTCATAACTGATGATCTCTTCCAAAGAACAAATAATGATGAAAATATTCTCAAAAAAGTCATTAATGGTGATGAAATGTGTGCTTACAGTTATGATGTTGAAACCAAACAATCCTCACATTGGAAGAGTCCTTCTTTGCCTTGTGCCAAGAAAACGTGACAGATGTGCTCACGGATGAAAGCAATGCTGCTTTTTCTTTTCGATCTGCAAAGCATTGTGCATTATTTATTCGCTCCTGAAGGTCAGACAATCAAGAATTTTATCTGGTAGTTCTAAGGAGTCTGCAGGATGCAGTACAAAGAAAGTGACCTGAAATGTGGACTGCGGGAAGCTGGCTGCTCCATGATGATAATGTGCCTTCTCACATAGCACTGTCAGTTAAACAGTTCTTGGCAAAATATTCAATTCTTACCCTTCTGCAACCCTCCTATTTACCTCACCTCTCCCCTTCTGACATTTTGTATTCCCTAAAATCAAAATTACCCTTAAAGGAAGAAGATTTCAGACAGTGGAAGGCAACATCACTAATGTGACGAATAACTTGAAGGTGATACCACAGAAAGCCTTCAAACAGTGTTTCCAAAGACAGAAAAGGCAATGGGAGAGGTGCATTGCTGTGAAGCATGAGTATTTTGAAGAGGATAATATTCTTTAAGCTCTAAGTAGAGAAAGATATTTATCAACAAATTTTGGAAACTCTTTGAACACATTTCATATATTGTGACAGGTCATTCCTGCAAAAAGAATACGTAATTCATCCCATCATTTTTTGAAGAAACATTCTGCAGACAGAAAGAAGATAATTTGTTGGCTCTGAGATTCTCACAGTGCTGACTAAGCAAGTAACCAGCCCACCTGCTACTTGATGGTTACTTTCTTGGCTTATTCCTCAATTCTGAAGATGGAAGTAGCATCTCCTGCTAATGGTGCTGAATTTCTACTGGGTTACAAAGTGTTACATACCAGAAGATATAACTCATTAGGAAGAAGAAATGCTTCCCTTCTAACTCATATTACAGGGTCATCCTGTGCTTCATCAAGAGATTCACTGTTCTTATGTGACCCAAAGGTTCATCAGTCATAAAGAAATTCTGTCCATTGGTTTCTCCTATCCTGAGCCTTTTTGTTAAACATGTATAATAAATAACCATTTTACAAGGAGTGGTTAACTCCATATGAAATCTAATATGAAATCATCCTCCATTCACTGTCTGCAAGTTCTTATTCCAGAACTGAGGACTGATAAATAATGAATATTGGCATTAAAAATTATATTTCTACATCAATGATTTTAGCTGTTTCGAAGTTGATATTTTTTAAGACATGAAATCAAAAGTAAATAAATTTTATGTTCCTGTGAACAAGGGATTCCTTTCAAATACCTTTATCTTCAAGCTCTTCCTTCCTGAAGATGGAGGCAGCAGGTTCCTCCAAAACCTTGGCACATATCTGCCAGACTACAGGTCATCACACCCCAGGAGACAACAATCTTTGAAATCACCACTGTTAGAACCCCAAAACACAACCCATTCCCTGTTATGTTATCAGGTATGGTCCAAAAAACTCACCAGTTTACCCAACCCGGAGACAGTGTAATATCATTCACACCTTCGCAAGGTATTTATCTAAGGACCATTTTATTAGTATCCTCCCATCTACGTATGTCAGTGTCTCCCATGCATCTTCCATGAGGTGTATTAACATAGATTTTGTGTGTAACTTTTTCTTTATGTGAATTACATGTTAACTGATCTAATACTTCTGTATTAATAATGATGCTTATTCTCCACTTTCTTCGGCTTTTACAGATTAGGCCCTCTGATCTGTTTCAATTTGGAATTAATTCTGAAGCTATGAATCCATTAAACTGGGAATTGGCCCACCACAATGCCTCTACTTATACAAGGCAACACACCATGGAAAAATGTTGACCTACAAGACCATTTTTCTGTTGTCATAATCCAACAAGTATTACTGTTACAGTAAACTTATGAAGAGGAAACAACACTTCCTGTGACCATGAAATGAAATGAAGTTTCTTTTGTGAGAAACTAATGGAATTCTTTAAGACCCAACGCTGTTAGCTAAATGGCGCTCCACTTACTTCTCTCAGCTTCAATTCAGATGTGAAAGTTTTTGTGATGGTAGGGATGAGACGACCCAGGTAACGATCATTCAAGGTGAATCTGTCCACCAGGTACCGCCAATTGTCTCTGTGCATAAAGATTTTGCTTGTAAGTAATCACTGAATATGAACCACAATATTATAGTTAAATGTGCTACTTTAATGTCTGTCTCATTTAATCACCTTAGCATTTGGATAGTAGATAATTTGTGGTGATTACCTTCCACGTGAAAGATTATGTTCTGCAGGCCTTTTAATTGTATTCCTCACATACCAACAAAATTTTCAACACCCTCTCTATTTACTGGTTAGTTACTAAAATGTCACCTGGATTAAAATATAGTGTCTTTGGCGTTGTAATTTCTTGTGCAATATAAATTCCATAAAAAAAAAGTAAAGCTATCCCTGTACCAGGCCGTGAAGGCCCATAGTGTTGTGAGATATTGAGGGTCCTACATTATCTAGACAAACGGCTGAAAGATGGCGGTAAGGTTGTCAGCCTTATGCGCCGGCCACGCTTTACTCCCCAGGAAAATTATTTAATTAATTCCTGGTACTCATTTCTGTTGGAGGCCGAGTGAGCCCCAGAGCCATAGTGCGGCTGGAAGGATTAGGTCAATTGAAAAAAATCCAATGACCTCATCGGGACTTGAACCTGCGACCTTCCGGCTTGTAGCATAGCCCCTCAACCAACTACACTACCGCGTGCGCCAATATAAATTCCATACATTGAGTTTCTTTAAAATTTGCAGAAGGACTCAAACAAATACATGTTAAGATTTTATCAGGCCCTTAAAATTAATTACAAAGTTAATAAAGCTTAACTTTGATTATAACAGTACAACTGAAATGAAATACTACAACTTCCACTAAAATGTTTTAGGACCTTGCATTTCAAAATATATTATCTCAGTAATGGAGTGTTAATGTGCCATTTATAAGTTCTGACTTACCTAACGAAGTCCCACACAATGGACATACCAACAGGGTTCTGAGAGACATAAGCCAGCACAGTGAAGAAGTCTTGAGATCTCACATTGCTTTCAGACATAGCTAACTGTATATAACTGAAAAAAGATATATACAATATTATATCATATGTGTAAGTAGTTTTAACTGGTAGCAAAAGATAGCTCTTTTATATTGATATGAAACTTAAGTCTTTCACCTTGAATAAATAACATAGGATGATGGTGTTCTAAAGGGGTGCTAAGAATATGTGCACTGAAGACAAATGAAGTGACAGAGAATCAGGGAAACTTACATAATAAGGAGCTTTGCTATTTCTATTCCTTATCTGCTATCCTCAGGGTGATCAAATCATGAAGAATAAGGTTGGCTTTTAGATATTAAGGTTCTAATGGATAGGACATTACATTCCTGTAATGCAGTCATTTAATGTACTCATTGTAAACTATGTTTAATATTGCAATCTGTAACCAAAAGCCCTTAAACTGCCTTGGCATATTTCCTGACCGATGTAAAATCCAGGGCTCTGAAGAATGAGCTAATCCTAGGAGCAACTTGATCTTCTCTTGGGCATCTGTCTCTTTCAGGTACAAGTTCCACATTATATTCCACTCCTTCTCACCACCAGCCAGCTTCATACCTGATGAAGTATAAAAGTCAAAATGCAGTCACCAGAATTAAATGTTTATGACTGGTAAGGAGTTGAACTGGAATGGATAAAATCAGAACAGAGTTTAATATACATGTACACTAATTAGAAGAAAGTGAAGAATGTACCTGTAATTTCAACATGTGAATTATTTAGATATTATACCATGAATGCCAAGCGTGAAGGTCAGGTTGGAGTTATGGATATTTTCAGCCATTGTTTCAGTAATTTCAGCTCTTCTTTTCTTTTATTTTTCTATTTGTAATTAATGGTTATACTCAAAAGCTCCTCATATATGTTTCATTAGCAAAACGTTAATCAAAATTAAAAGGTAAATGGTAAATTTGCCCCTATGCTTAACTAATTAAGCACTATGACATGAAGGTGCATGGAGGAGTGGAGGTATAGCTCCACCATCAAAAGTAAAATGAGTAAAATATTGAGCAGAAGTTCCAAGTTTTCTGCTGCCTAGAAGTAAAGCTGCATGCAAGCAACCACCAATATCCATACCATATCTTTCTTTGGCTGTTGAAGCTGTTCATAAAGATTGGCCATTTGAGATGCAGCAGAACAGTTAACAGTTGCAAGCACAACCCTTCAACATGTCTTGACAATCACAAGAAAAGATGTAATGAACACTATGTAATGCAATAAATGTGCACTTTGGACTGAATTCTCGACAGAAGAAGAAGGGAATTTCATAGATTATATTACCACAGCTAGCCATGTTCATTATGGATTAACAAGGAAAGAAGTAATAAAACTAACTTTCATCAGTTTGCAAAGGAAGTGACAAAGTACCCTGACTTTTTGGATGTGAATGGCTGAGCAAGTGAACAGTAGATCACTGATCTTATGAAAAGAAACAACAGTGTTGTTTCTCTCAGAAAGCCACAAGCCACTAACCTGGATAGGACTACAGCTTTTAATAGACCTGTTGTTGTTTTACAAAATACAGTGATATTGTAGTAATGTTGATGAGACTGGGATTTCTACAGTTCACAATCCCTCTAACAGCTGTGGCTGTCAAAGAGAGTAAACAGGTGGGCAGTGTGACATCTGGAGAGAGAGGAGTAATGGTCACCATCATTGGATGTATTGAAGCTCTGGGAATTCACTTCCTCCGGAGTTCATTTTTTTTTTTTTAATGCTAGTTGGGTGGAACTAAGTCCCTTGTACTGCGGCCACTTCTGGCCTATTGTACCAGCCCCAGATGATAGGTGAGGGTGATTGTGGAGCAATTGGTGGAATGAAGATTGGCAGGGGAAACCGAAGTACTCAGATAAAACCTGCCCCAGCCCTACTTTGTCCACCACAAATCCCACTTGACCAGACCCCGGATTGAACCCAGGTCGCCGCAGTGGGAAGCCAGCAACTAAACACTTGTGCTGTGGCGCAGTCTTCCATAGTTAATATTCGCACATGTTCACTTTAAGATGTGTATGTTGGCTGGTGCAACACTTGGTATACATGGATATCTCACTCCAGTGACTGGTTGAATGGGGACAGATTTCTTGAATTTCTAGACCATTTCATTTATCAGATGAGACCAATTAAGGATTATCAAATGCTTCTACACTTAGACAATCATGAGATCCATACCACAGTACCAGTGATTTTAAGTGTCAAGAGAATGGTGCTGTGATGCTGACATACGCTCTTCATACCATCCATGAGCTACAACCACTGGACAGATGTTCCTTGGGACCATGGAAGAAGTTTTACAATGTGAGGAGGCAGGGAACCCAAACTGGTTAGGCATACCCAAGACCTTCCATTCTAATGTTCAGTCTGAATTTTTCATTACTGGCTTTGGCATGTAAATTCTGATATGTTCACAGCAGAGCTTTTAAGTTCATATGTAATGGACAATCACAAACGAGCACTATGGAAATTAGGAAAGGATAGTGGGCCATCAGTGCTGACCCCAGTTCTGTCATCTCCGAGATCCCTTGAAGAGATTTAATCATTTCCAAAAGTACAACTAAAAGCAATAAATGATGAATGATTGAAACAAGGCTGATTGAGGGTTTCAGCAGATACCCTGAAAAGAATGAAGTTGAAGCATTGCAGTAAAAAAACAGCTGAAACCTAAGGATGGAAGAGTAAGACTTTTTGCAGAGAAACAGAAAAATGCAAAGGCAAAGAGGAAACAGTCTGCTGAACCTAGCCATGAAAATGAAGTATGTGGTTCCTTTGACAATATTTCTTATGACAGAAGCTTCACAGATTTTAATGAATTAGTATGCCATTATCAAGAAGAAAAATAAGACTTCCACTGTGCAGCAGCTGCTTTGCCAAATTAAGGTTTTATACTGCTGAGATTAGATAAAATGTAGAATGTAACTTTTTGGCTTTGGCTGCAGTACAATTACTTGGGGACATGTGATTCTCACATCTTTCAATAAATGATTCAGAAAGTGTATTTATATTTTTGTTACTCCAGGTTCGAATCAGACAGGAGACCAATTGATATGGCAGTAAGGCCATACATTCCGCCAAAAGAGAAAAGCAGATTTGTTACAGGTTTCATACTTACCATAAGAGTATACTATGGAACGGAGATCAGGATGTGGTTTCTGCACAGATGAAGCGTTTGAAATCCAATTCTTGAAAACAGCCACAACTTCACTGATGCATTCTGGCACTCCCACATTGCAGGCTAATTCCACCACTGTCGGTCTTAGCAACCTGATGGTCACAGTCACTTATTTAAAGAACTTTATTACATTAGACAGTGGTCCTCAAATATTTTCATGCTGTGGAATTCTTTTCTAATAATATTTTCATGGAACCCTCAAAATAACAATTTTCCTTTTCTAAGTGCGTACTTTAATTGACAAATCTGTATGCAGAAATGGATTAAATTCAACCTATATTTTAGAAAATATTTTGTGTTGGTTGGGTTCACCTAATGCGGCAGTTTGACCTGCTTGCATGCCCCAAGGACCTCGAATTCACTACAGTTTTGAAAAAGCTGTGTCCTCATGTTGAATTCTGCATTACGCCCACTTCAGTATTTCGTTTTTGGTGTTGCATTTTGAGAACACTGTTTCACACAGATGTGCAGATGGAAACAGAAGCAGCTTCTTCACAGATGAACTATAAATACGTGGATACTCTTCCTTGAGACCAACCCAGAAGTTTCAAAGGAAAGTTGGTGTATGTATGTCTCTCTAACATGTCTTTGTTGAAGGGTGAGTTAATGTTTGAAGTATCATCGACACCAATCTCACTCCCAAGTTCAATCAGAGAAGCATTCAATGTTGGAAAGTGTTCTGTAACATTTTCAACGTATGTCCTCCATTTTGTGTATCAAGGAATAATTTTTCACATGATGAGATAATTGTGCTAGTCATATCCTGGAATAATAAATGTAGTTCATTATCTTTGTAGGCAAAGGTGAATAATGGCTGCGCTAACCTCTGGAGTGACCAGGCGTGATGGAAACCTAAAGGGATGCCAATAACGACAAAGTAAATGCGAAAACCAAAGCCCTGCCTCATGATAAACATCAAACTTCTGCGTGCAGCAGTAACCTTCTGTAATTGCTATCTGTCTAGACCCAAACTGCAAGAGAGTTCTTCACATCAACAGTCTTCATTTCATAGAACTGACAATCTTCACAGCCTTGTCTAACGCCGTTTTCACTGTGTTTGGAATCTTTCACAGAAAAAACTGGAAGAAGAGTTGTGACAGTGTGGCGACTAAGTCCCTTGTACTGCGGCCACTTCTGGCCTATTGTACCAGCCCCAGATGATAGATGAGGGTGATTGTAGAACAATTAGTGGAGTGGAATGAAGATTGGCAGGGGAAACCGAAGTACTCGGAGAAAACCTGCCCCAGCACCACTTTGTCCACCACAAACCCCACCTGACCAGACCCGGGATCGAACCCGGGTCGCCGCGGTGAGAAGCCATGAACTAACCGCTTGAGCTATGGCGCGGCCCTTCTTATTAACCTTAGTGATTATCATAGAGCACGTACAAAGCTGTGCCTCATACACGAGGTATGATAGCAATCGTAAGGGCCTCACCGCGAAGAGCAATATGGCAGCTTACTTAGTAGTATGATGCTTCATACACATTTACATTCTTATCTTAATTGAGTGGCGTATGATTAGTTGCAGAATACTTCGGTTAATCACATTTATATTTTTAAAATGCGATAGGTTTATCTTTGAAGTCAAAGTGCTTTGTGCGTAATTCTGTGACATCAAGGAACTGTCTCCAAAACTCTGGTAACACAATGCATACCGGGCGTATGGCTCATTCGAATCGCCGGCAGACGTGAATTCGAATTGAAGACTGCTATCAGCGTATTTAAGTTTCCTTTGTATTTGTCTCTGATACCGGAAGAACATCGCTGGTCTGTTCCCCCGTTATCCCGGTCTTGCTTTGTGTTTTTCGTTAACTTCTCGTTTATGGCCACGCCATAGCTCAAGCGGTTAGTCGCTGGCTTCCCACCGCGGCGGCCCGTGTTCGTTCCCGGGTCTAGTCAAGTGAGATTTGTGATGGACAAAGTGGCCCTGGGGAGGGTTTTCTCCGAGTACTTCGGTTTCCCCTGCCAATCTTTATTCCGCCAATTGCTCCATAATCACCCTCACCTATCATCTGGGGCTGGTACTGGCTGACCGACTAGGAAGACGAATGGCATTTTGAAACAAGATCTTGATATATACTCCATTCCGGAAAAGATTCTTAACTGAGGAGTAAAGTAACTGACGAAGAAATTTACGGGATATTTGCAATTCTATTCGATCGCGGTAGTTGAAGAGCCTTTGCTTGACATGAAATTGCGAGTTTATGAATTTCCATATAATATTATCATTCTGTTCACTGATGACGGTTTGATTTTCTTAAATTGAATTATACTGAGTATTTTTTCGAGATATAACTCGAGTTCTATAGCGAATTCTGAAGAAATGCAAATTAAGTTTAATTTTAATTTATAGATAAAGGGGAAAGATATCCCTGTAACAGATCATGGAGACCCACAGGGTTGTGAGACGTTGAGGCTCCCATATTTTATAGGCAGTCGGCTCACAGATGGCGGCAAGGTTGTCAGCCTTACGCGCCGGCCGCTCTTTACCCTCCAGGAATATTCCTGGTACTCTTTTCTGTCAGAGGCTGAGCCGACCACAGGGCCATAGTGTGGCTGGAAGGATTAAGGCAAATGGAAAAAATTAACCTCATCGGAACTCGAACCCATGACCTTGCGACTTGTAGCATAGGGCCTCCACCAACTACGCTACCTCTTGCCCCCATTTTAATTTATAAAACTAAAATATTCCATGCAAAGTCGGCTTCAGAATTGCCTTGCACATATCCTGACACGCAAGTTGTGTTTATAATTATAAACTATATATATTCTACAGGATGTTTCATAAAGATCTGACTAACCTGAAGTGCTTATTTTATTAAGCTAGCGGATGAAGTGCCAATATGCGTTGGAAAGGAGAACTGCTTTACTGGTAAAACTGTAAAGCTCCTAATATCATATGACAACTGATGTATCACTGCATTTATAGCATCGTTGGAAATATTAGTAGGCTTCTTTGAAATCGGTCAGATCTTTATGAAATTTTGTGCATAACCAGATTTGTTTAAGGTAGGAATATCATAGAGTGGTTCTACTTTAGAAAACTAGAATACTAAATGCTTGTAGGTATTGGAATTTCAGTTTAGATTAACTAACTTAACATAGCGGCCTCCGTAGTCTAGAGGTAACGTTCCCAGCTCACGACTCGTAGTACGCGGGTTCAAATACCCGGGGGAGGTTGTCGAATTTTTAAGGGCGGAAAAATTCAGGGAACAAGTCCTCCGGGAGGGACTTTAAGCCGTGGCTCCCGTGTCGTAGCTTTACGGCACGTAAAAGAACCTCATACCTCCAAAGGAGGTCACTAAGCAAAATTGCGGACGTTTGCCGCCCAACAGTAGTCACTAATACCTCCGGTAGATGGGGGAAGCATTATAGATACTTCTCAGCCAGTAGCGCCGGTCTCGCTGGCTGGGCGGGACTGATGGTAAGCACCAATACCGGTAGGATATACTCGTAGAGGCTGGTAGAAATCATAGAGGGAAGCACAATGGACCACTACAGGTCTAAGTGCATGGGGAAACCAACCCTCTCCAATAACTAACTAACTAACTAACTTAACATTAAATCCGTGATTTTAGTCCGCAAGTGAACTGTACCGACCGAGCGACCGCCGCTTGTCGGCGAAGTTAGTGCCAACTTTTGCGGATAGAGGGTGTCGCGTGGTCAGCGCAACGAATCCCCCACGGCCGTTAATTTCGGTTTTCTAGACCGGAGCCGCTATTTCCTTGAAATAGCTCCTCAATTATCATCACGAGGCTGAGTGGACCCGGTTCCAGATCCAACTTCTCGGAAAAAAATCTGATAGCGCCGGGAATCGAAGATTTACTTTTAGATCGTGTCAGTGGGTATTAAAGTTTCATCAATATCAAGGCCTCTGAAAGCTGTTTCTTCGACATTTCCACCTCATATTAATGGCTGATGCAAGACAGGACTGCGTATGTCTGCCGATTAAGGTGGATGACAAAACAGAACCTGTCAAAAGTAAAACTATGAGTGAATCTCAGATTTTTTAATCCTGATTTCGAAAATGACCTCGAAATAAGTCCATCGCTAACCAGTTTTGAGCAAATTGAAAATGAAACTTGTATAGAGGTAACGCCGTAGACTTCTATTCGGGAGGTGTTTGGTTCGAACCCCAACCGACACACCGGCTACCCTGAGTTAAGTTTTTCCTGGCTTCTCTCAGTTCATCCGGACAAATGCAGGACTAGTATCTCGATTAGGACACGACCACTTGCTTCCAAACCCTTACTAATTCATTAGCCGTCCTACCATGCGACGCTACAGTGTTGATTCTGCAAGCGTCGTTAGCCCCCCCCCCCACAAATAAAAATAAGTTTCTAGTAATTTGAGCAAGTGTTAAGAATAGAATAGTATAAAATACATACTAAACGCAATCTAAAGTGTGGGAGCTCATGAGTTAGGCTTGTACGAGTATTTCACCTCCGGGTATCCCTTCATATCTGCTGTCCAAAAACATAAAATTAGAATATACAAAACTATAATTTTGCCTGTGATTCTATATTGTTGTGAAACTTGGTCTCTGACATTAAGGGAGGAATATAGACTGAGGGTGTTTGAGAACAGGGTGTTGAGAATATTACCGA